GCCCCTCCACCCAGCTCCCGTGCCCACAGGCCCAGCTCTGTGCCCCTCTACCCAGCCCCCGTGCCCACAGGCCCGCCCCGTCCCGAGCCTCCTGACTGTCCTGCTGACTCTCTTCTCCCCAGGTCCCTGGTGACAGGGCTGCTTGCTCCCACGTCTGGGACCATCCTTGTTGATGGCAGGAACCTGCAGACAGACTTGTCCGCTGTCAGGAAGGAGCTGGGGGTGTGTCCTCAGCGGGACGTCCTGTTCGACAGGCTCACCGTCCGGGAGCACCTGCTACTCTTTGCGGCCATCAAGTCCCCCCAGTGGACCTGGGCGGAGCGCCGGCAGCAAGTGGACAAGTGAGTCTCGGCCACTCTGCGCCCCAGCCCTGCCCTGTGTCAGCTCAAGTCAGTCGCTTGGTAGCACGAGTGCTGGGGGGGGTGTCTCAGGGAGGACTTGACCTTGACTTGTCCTTGGGTGGGGCCAGACTGTTCACAGCTGGAGGGACAGGCCACGCTGACCAGCTGATGCCCAGGCAGGGAGGGGAGTCCAGGCGGAAGCCCAGGCGCGCCCAGGGGAGAGCGGGGGCTGGGGAGGGGCAGGGCTGGGGCAGCCAGGACGGGCCAGCGAGAGCAGCAGCCTCCGTCCCACTGGGGACACGTAGTCCCTCAGACCAGGTGGAGAAGGGAGACACCTGGTCGGAAAGCAAAGCGTGTTCCCGGGAGATGAGCTCGGGAGGGTGGGCTGGGGGCAGGGCAGCAGCCGGTGGCGTCCTGGACCCGCCTGCCTGCGCCGGGCGCTGCTCTCTCCGGGCGCCCGTGGCCGGGCCCCGAGGTCGCGAGTGTCCTCAGCTTCTCAACTGGATGCTGCAAAGCAGAGCCCGAGCCGGGCCTGACCGCGGGAGGAGCTGCCCCGGGGCCGGAGACCTCGGTCACCGCAGGTCACCGTTTGCGGAGAGGTCTCAGCACAGCTGTGGGGTCCGGGCGCGAGCGAGGGTTCTGTTCTCGGTGCAGGACCCTCCTGGACGTGGGGCTGACGCAGCACCGGCACAAGCAGGCCCGTGCCCTGTCCGGGGGCCTGAAGAGGAGGCTGTCCATCGGCGCCGCGTTCCTCGGCTCCTCCAGGACTGTGGTGCTGGACGAGCCCACCAGCGGGGTGGACCCCTGCTCCCGGCGCAGCATCTGGGACACCATCCTCCGGTACCGCAAAGGTGGGAGTGGCCCCTGCCACTGCTCTCCCGGTCCTCTTAGGGGACTCACTGGATCCTGTCACCCGAACCACCGGGTGGCACTGACCAGTGTCCAGCTGCCTCAGATGCCAGACCAGGGACAGGGCACTTTAAAATAAATGTTTTTATTGATTTTAGAGAGAGAGGGAGGGAGAGGAGTAGAGAGAAAGAAACATCGATCGGCCGCCCCCTGCACGCCCCCGACTGGGGATCGAGCCTGCAACCCGGGCCTGTGCCCTGACCGGGAATCGAACCCTGACCTCCGGGTTCATGGGTCAATGCTCAACCGCTGAGCCACGCTGGCTGGGCTCTCTCTGGCTTAGAAATGGGTGATGATCTTGGCATTGTCCCCACTCTCCCTCTGGCAGAACAGGGCGGACGGCCTCCCAGCCGGGGGTCAGGCCGGTTCTCACGCCACCTCTCTTGGGCCACAGGTCGCACGATCATCTTCACCACCCATCACCTGGACGAGGCGGAGGCGCTGAGTGACCGCGTGGCCGTCCTGCAGCGGGGCCGGCTCTGCCTCTGCGGCCCCCCCCTCTGCCTGACCGCAGCCCACAGCCAGGGCCTGAGCCTTGTGCTCACGAAGCAGGTGACCCACGAGCGGCCTTCCCCTGGGGCCTGGAGACACCCTGTGAGATCAGGATCAGTGGATGTATGTTCGGGATGGTTGCACTTATATTTTTTACTTTTTCTTTTTTGGGGGGGTGTAGCCTTCTGTTCTGGAGGTGGAGGACCCGAAGGACACAGCGCACACGACAGCCCTGATACAGGCCTACATCCCACAAGCGTTCCTCAAGGACAGCAGCGGGCACACGCTGAGCTACGCCATCCCCCGGGACGCCGACCGAGCCGGCTTCAAGGGGCTCTTCCAGGCGCTGGAGCAGCACCAGCACCGCCTGCACCTGGCCGGCTTCGGGGTCTCAGACACCACCTTGGAGCAGGTGCTGCTTAGCGTCCATGTTTGTTCTGCAACGTATTTTCATTTATACGTTCCCCACCCATGTCCCTTTGGGCAGTTTCTGAGTCTCCCTCCTCCTTTCCCTCTGTTCTTTATAACATGTTTTTTTGTGTGTTTTTTTATGAAGTTGCACATGGTAAAACCTGCCCCTCTCAGTTCCAACAAGTGCGTGGGGTCAGGGCCTCACACACACTCAAGACACGGGGGCTCCCCACTCCCGCCGCCCCGAGAGCACTCGGCAGGCTGCTCCCCGCAGGGTGCCCCGCTCACGTCCTGCAGTTAATCACCCCAAGGAGCCTGACAACAGGCAACAGGACCAGCTGCCTAATTGCTCCTGAGATTCTAGTGCTTCTCCGGTTTCTCGCGGTAATTTCCATGCCCTACATTTAGCACATGCTTTGCACATAATAGATGCTAAATAAACACCAATTGATCAGGTCTCGTGTATCCCTCCCCCCT